CCCGGAGGAGCTGGCAGCCAGCACAGGAGCCGAGCGTGGATCTAGAACACTCAGCTGCACGATGTCCCATCCTCTCATGGGAGCAGAAGGGCTGAGTTTCCCAAAGTAGTGCCAGGTGGGACTGGCATCCCCTTGACCAGCCCTATTTTAATGGTGTTTTTTGGCAAAGGAGACGACCTACAGACCAGAGGACAGGTGACTGCCTCTGGCGGTCTTTAAAAAGTTGGGAGACCTCAAAAGATCCCTTGGTTTTAACTCGCAGCTGTCTCAGCGCAGCGGTTACGGGACAGAGAGTCCTTTCCTAAGCCAGACCTACCAGCAAGTCCTGTTACAGTGAGGATTTCCTCACGTCCCCCTGCAACCTACAGCTGCCTACACACCAGATAAGTGCAGCCACAACCGGGATGGAAACCAGCGAGCGAGGAGAGCGGCACCGACCCACGGGCAGGCGCTGCCCTCTGCGGGAGCAGCGGCACACCGAGGAGCCGCACGTGTTCCATCCAGCTGGATGAAGCGAGATTGCTCGCTGGGTTTTATCGGCTGCACACAGAAGGCAAGAGCTCCATGAGGAGGCCGAGTGTGGGATGCCCTGTGCTTTAGAGAGAGCCCGCTCCTGCGAGGGGGACAGGCTGGTGAGCATATTTCCGCAGCTCAGAGGTGGCATCTGGGGTTAACCTCAACAACTGACCTATTAATATTTACTACTCGCACCACTTCTCGACTTTGGAAGCGTTCCCACCCACCAGACTGCCTTCCTGAAGAGCAGACAGAAGGACACATTGTTCATTTAATTTCAATTAACTGAGAGACTGAGAAAAAGCAATGGAAACTGAATCATGCGTCTGCCTGGAATGCATCTAATAAGCCTTGCCGCTTTCTCAGAAGCGGCCACTGGCCTATGACAAAGCAGCTTAGTGCACCAAAGGCTGTGGGCCATCTTGTCAACGTAAAGGTCACAGATGCAAAGATGAAGGAATCTAAAAAGCTGTAGCATCTCCACAGTATGCTGGGAATGCTTTCCCACAGAAGATAAATTAAGACACCTTAAAATACCTGAATAAAACATATCAGGTGATCACTTTACATGGATTCATATCAAAGAGTTTGAAAAATCAGTGAGTGACAATAAGCAGAAGATTTAAACTTGTTTCAGGTGGGTAGCAGCTGGATGCTAGCCATTCCTCACTGGATAACCAGTGTCATCAGCATGCAAACTACCATTAGCCTCTGTCTGTGTGAACCAGTATCTGCACTTAACGTAAGTTTTTGTGCACAAAAAATGAACAGGCCTTGTAATAGAGAAATGCCTTGTCTCCCAGCTAGTTTTAGACATAAGAGCATGGAGCAAGTTTCCTAGCTGTTCAAGCTGGTCTCTATTTCTCTAAGTCATAGAAACTCGCCTTTCTATGCTCTGTAACATCTGGTTTTTGCAGCTATTTCCATAGACACCATGCTTACCTGGAGTGGTCCTTAAACCTGTCATGTTGAACATGTAGATGCTATCATCAGTGCAGTTAGCAAACAGATTAGCACCAGTGGAATCCAAAACCATGCTAGAATATCCTACAGACAAAGAGAGAAATTCTTTATAAGAAATAACTCCACAAAAAACATTTTTGAAAAATAGGCATTCTCAAAGAAATGCCTAGAGAGTGAAATTTAGAAAGGATATCTATCATATATGAGATTGTCATTGGAAAGTTTATTTGTTTGACAGAGCACTTGCTGGAGAAGGAAAGTTTCTAGAATAACATCTACATTTTCTCCTGAGGATTCAGGGTGATATTTAAAGAGGAATCTCAGCTTCAGAGCAGGTGATTTATCTGATAGTTTCAAATGGATAACAGGAACAACCAATTGTAGAAGGAGAGATTAAAAACAAATAGAAACCCTCATGCTTTGGTAGAATAAGACATCCTCTGACTTGCTAGTAACTTAGGTTCAAGAAAAATATTTCCCTGCAAGCAAATTATTTCACAACTAGCTCCTCAACAATTTCCTTTCTATTCTTGGGAAATACTGACCATTACCACATCAAGACAGTTGATTAGACAAGTCATCAAGAATTACTGTGTTGCATCAGAGCATTGTAAGGCATTAAGGTACAAAGAAGCGCGGAGCAACACGAGCAAGAGTGCTATTGTTTTTAATAACAAACAGCTTCAAGTATTGTTGGACTTTGGAAGGTTATAATGTAAAAATCCAGACCGGTCTGTTGTCTTTACAAGATACAACGCAAAGAAAGAGTACAATCTAGTTTCTAGTCATGCATCAGAACGACTAGCTAAATTCTACCTCAAGAGTTCTATTATTCCCTCATCTCCGTTCTGAAAATCTACTGCTGAAGCTTATGCAAGTTTTTATCATTGATGCAATGATGCAAAAGTGAGGCACTTTCACTATTCAACTTGAAAATTTGGTATTGGCAATTAAAATACCCTGCTAAGCTTGTCAGTCTGATCAATAATTTGCTAAAAAGATAAGAGATGGCACTGTCACTACTTCTTAAATTTACTTTGCCCTTTAGCAAATACATCCTCCAGTAACCTACCAAGTTTGCGAGTACTGGTCCCAGGGTAGCAAAAAGACTTGAAAGGCACTGGGTCCTGACGGTAAGTGGCGTAGTTCTTGCGCAAGTCCCATACTTTGATCACACTGAAATAGAAAAGCATAAGTGTCTTCAACTGCAAAATTTCTCTTGCAATGCTGATCAGGCCTTTGTCCTGGTTTCGCTGGGATAGAATCATAGAATCAATTTTCTGTTCAGAAAAGCTACATTTCTAAAGTAAGTGGCATTTTTAAGAAGACTGCAGCACTTGATTTGGTGAGAACAAAGTTGATAAGACACTGTGTTTTAGTTTGTAGCCAGCTGTGGTATGCAAGTATCCATAGTGATCAACAACTTTTCAACTTGTTTTTGCTAATGATCCAGATGTCCAAGAACCTGGGGGGAGCGTGGCCAGGGCAACTGACATCTGAACTGGCAAATTTGTATTCCATACCCTGTAATATCATGCTCATGATAAACTGAAAAGTTTGTTGGAGATAGTCTCTCTTTCTCAATGGTTGCTGTCCAGCCAGCCTCTCTTTTTCTTAAGGGTCGCTGTCCCTGGAGCGTCTCACCCGTCATTCTGCTCCTGAGGCCTACTCTCTCTCTTCTGGGATTGTGGTTTTGGAATTTTCCTGCTCTGAGATCGCTCGTCAGGAATAGACTGGATATTGGTCAAGGGGTGCTGAGCAATTGCACCATACATCATTTGCCTGTATTATTATTATTTATTATTATTATATTTTATTTCAATTATTACATAGTTCTTATCTCAACCCATGGGTCTTCCTTCCTTTTCCCGATTCCCTTTCTTAAGTGAGGAGGCATCAATGGGTGATAGAACAGCTGGGTATTGTTTAGCCCCGGACACAGGATAAACAGACAGCCTTCTAAGAGCACAGGAAGACAGGTTGCTCATTACTGAGGAGTGTCCAGTGCTAAGGAGCACAACTAAGCAGAAGGGGAGCAGACACGTGCTGAGAGCAAACAATTGCTCTGCTGGGTATGGATGAGGAAGCAGCACTGTCTTCTGTAACTAAGAGATACAACCAGAGATATAACCAGATAAAACAAGTATCAACCAGATACAACAAGTCAACTTTCTTCAACTAGTAAAAGGAAATACAAGGATGCCTTTGTGCTCCTGACTTGTAGTTTTAAAAATGAAGTGCTTCAACTTTTTTCTTGCTCGCCAGGAGCAAGCCTCCCTTCATGAACAACAGGCAGGAGAGCCAATGTTATCTGCCTCAGAAAGGCTCTAACCAATAGAGCCTGCTGAAGAATCAAGTCCTGAGAGGGTAATGTCCATGCTAATCAATAAGACAGTTTGCTCGAGCATTAAGATGCTGCAATGGATCTGGCACCTAAAAGAATGCATCTTTTGTAACTCAAGGCAACATTTTCTCAAGCACGCCTACACATATCCAGGCACCAACCACGCACTTGCATCCCAAAATAGCTCACTGTCTAACAATAGTCTGTTTATATGTGGTCCCATAGGTCCATGATAAGGACTGCTCTTGTTCTGCCCCATAGCTAAGACACTAAAATGAGCATTTACCAGGTTTGCACAATTTGTCTCAGTGCTGCGATCTCCAGTAAGGAAGAAGAGCAGCATTCAGTTTTGCCAATGCAAACTGACAGTGTAGTTCTGCTGTTTCTACCTAATAGTAACTCCAGCTTTATGGGCCACTGAGTGATCTTAGAAAAAAATATCTCCCAATCTTTTTGTGCCACTAAGAACAACACACAGAATAGACAGAAAAGCAGGCATCCTGCCTCCTTACCCATCAACAGCTCCTGCAGAGATAAGAGTATGCTCATCCTGAAGCAGCACCACAGTTACACTCTGCTGAAAGTCCTTAAAAAGAGAAGGAAAAAAAACCTGCTTTATTTTCTTTCAAGGTCAGGAAGATCTTGCTGCTTAGTTCAAGGCCAAGTGAATACTGAGAAAACCTCCTCCTAGCCAGGCAGGAGAACCTGGAAATATCAGACGCCATTTAGGACACAACAATCCTTTGAACACTCCCACCAGTGAAATTGCCACTGAGTGATAAGAGTTTGGGCAGCAGTTTGAGATTATACCTCTCAGGTCAGAGATAAGAGCTGCCTTCATCACAAGGTTTAATAGACTGAATAAGACCAGGTCTTACTCCAATAAGGCAGTAATTTGTGTGGTTAAATTAGGGGAAAGAAAAAAAAAATACAATCGTCCCTATTTCTCTCCTCAAAAAAGGAATGCTGGCTACTCCTTTCCTCTCTGGAAAAAAAAGACATATTTTCACATGGCATTTGTACAAAGATGGCTTTGGTGGCATGTGGGTTGCTAGACAACTAAACAATGTGTAAAATTAGCCATAGCAGGTGACCATGATACAAAAATCTAACTCTGCAAAGATGAATGGAAGCAATTACCACATTCAAGCCGAATATTTCTCATGATAATTACTTAGGAAGACCTGTATGAATAACATTGTACTCAGAAGAGAGGCCTGCATTTCGTTTGTTCCCCAGGTACCTACCACCAAGGGAGCAAGTCCTCTTAGGTTCTGCCTCTTCTTCTTCAGTTTGGAAGGAGTCTGCTTGTCAATCACATTGTGTGCTCCACTGATTTGATTCACTTGCCTATAAAATCCATCTGAAAGAAATCAAAGACATCTCAATTAATAGTTTCCATGCAATTTTGCTATCACTTTAATAAAACAGGCATCAGCTTGGAGTAAGTCCTAAAAAGTGGCTGAGACTAACCTTTAAAATCACTAACATATTCTGAAAACAAAAATTGTTACTTACATACCAAACCGATGAGAACAACACAGTAGAAAACAGGACCATATATTGAAAAAACTACAGAGGTCAATGCGGCATGGACATTGAAACTAAAACTGGTCTAGGCAGGCTGCCTTTGGAAATCATTACCCCTTGGTCTGGTCTAGAGCATGCATCCTGGTCTGGAGCATTCAACCCATCTCATCCTGAGCAGAACTGCACTCATAGGAAGGTTTCCAGTGCTTTTCTACTCTATTTTATAACTTTCTCTGTAGCCTTTTGTCTGCTACTTCTCACTTTATGAAACTTACTGCTTTACTAAAGCGATCTTTCTAAATTTTTTCCCTATACCTTCTGTATCAGTCATGTGGAGCCTCCTTTTCCCTCACTTGCCAGTTTGAAGAGCCAGGGAAGCTGGGACAGATGGAAGAGTGAGACATGTTCTGGCAACACAGACCAGGAAATTGCTGGGACAGGGCAGGGAACTGGGAAGAGGCATAAGGGCATGACCTGACCGGAGAAGGAAAAGCTCCAGGAAACAGAAAGAGAGGAGCAAAATGAGCTCATCCTGCATTTAGTAGGTCGTCTTACAATATATTCAGTTGCTCCCAGCACTCACAAGCTCCTTTGCTCCTGCACTTTCTGCCTGTCTTCCTACTCTGGCAGGAGCCTTCCCAGCTTTGCTTCATCCCTCCAGGTGGCTCTGACCTAAGCACTCTCATCCAGCCCATCTGCCTCCGCGCTGTCCCACACAGGGTGTATTCTGTACCCCCTTATCACCTTACCAACATACAGGGCATTATCAGGCCAGCATGTATATCATGCTGCAAATCTGAGACTGTTACAAAGTGGGAAGATGTACTTTACATAGAAGAAATACCTACTCGATCCTTTTACTGTACTAAAGCAGTACACTGTTATCTGACAATCCTCCTCCTCTTACTGAAGTGTTGCCTATATGGTAATCGAAGGCACTAGTCCAACAAGTACACCCAAGTACTATTTTTACTCAAGATACTAAGCTTTTCTTGTACATATTTGAAAGTTCATTTACCTTTCTTGTTGCATCTCGTATCCCAAATCATGATGTTTCCATCTCTGCCTCCAGTACAGAAGACAGCTGAGATAGAAAAAGAGTGCTGTTAGCTTTCAAAAGTGTTAATTTAACTAACTGAATGCAGTACAATGCCATAAACATGCCTCTGACTCTTCTGCCCCAACACCTGGGAAGCCAGTTCTAGAAATACAAAAATCAGGCCAGTGTTCTGCCATGCTTTTGATTAGTTTCCTTAGTCTTACTCTCGCTATTCTTTTTTTTACTACTACTCTAGAGAAAGCTGCTTATGAAAAGAGGTTCTTCCAACTTACGTATGTAAGTAGCTATCATATCTTAAACTTGCCCAAGATCAGAAATGTGCAGATGTCAGCATCAGCTCACCATGAAGTTTCAACAAGTTAGTTTTGCTTCACTGGCTGGGTTGCTGCTCAGTCAGCCTGTGCTACTTGTAACTGTCAGTTTCCAAAGCCCTTTTTCAGCCCCAAAAGTACCGATGCACCAGGGGGAAAGAAGAAGGAAAAACCAGACAACAGAGAATATCAACATTTACCTTTCTCAAATCTAGAAAAAGCAACTGACTTGAGGCTACACTGGTGACCTTTGCATATGCCAAGAAGCTCGCCGGCTCTCACATCCCACACCTTGGCTGTCTGATCCCCTGAAGCAGTGACCTTCAGAGGGAAAAATAAAAAGGTTTAGCCATTTTCTGCACACAGTTGCCAAAGCATTAAAAATAAAGTTAGATGGCAAAAGACTGCTTACAATCCTGTGTTCCCCTGGCACCCAGGCAAGGTCAAATACAGCATTTGAGTGAGCCTGCCATTCTAACAAGAAAACAAAAGCTAAGATTAGTTCAGCACATTGCAGCATGATATTTTGCAGAAGACTAAAGAACATCAAACTACGAAATCAGAAAACTTGTCAACAGCTTGCCTTAGGCATGAAAAACACCGAACTATTCACCTACTACTGCTGTTGTAAGAACACTCTCAGGTTTCTGCTTTGTAAAGAAGACTCAGAAAAGTATCTGAAAGGATTTAAGTACTGCCCACATTTATGTTTAAAAGACTTGTGAAAAGCTTTCTTTGATCGCAGTATATCAGTACTTGTCATATCAAATGGTCATATTCTGTGTAACATTTACCCTTAAAGATGACTTTGCTGGTAGTTTGAGCTTCAGTATCATACAGTCTAACAAATCCTTCTTCATTTGCAACTGCCAGTACATGCTCCAAATTCGGGGCTGAAAAGAAATTGAAACTTATTTGTGTATTATGTAGCTGATAAATAATCATGCCTCTCTGCTCTGTGAAGGGCCACAGACACTTTAAATAGGGTACACAGCAAACAGATAGCTGTGAAATAAGCAGTATTTACATAGCAATTTAAATGTTCAAAATGCAAAAACATTGGCAAGCATTTTTTTCTAGATGTTTCATTCAGCAACTACTATAGACGGGCAATCAAATGGCTCCAGGAGCAACTTTTGAGATAATGGCCTCTTTCACCAGCTATAATAGTTCTCTAGTTACAGTTTTCTGTATCTATACTACCTGTTCTCTACAACCTCCAGTACTTTCCATGAATCTGAGTTAGAAGAGCAGGAAGCTGCCTTGGAGAAAGTTATAAGCTCATGGCAAAACTAGAGTACTACAAATGAAAGAGTTTTGTCCTAAAGATCCAGGAACTTCCATGCTTTCTTCACTCATCAGGTATTTGTCATGGGGAAATGCTACGTGTCTAGCACCATGGTGACATCCATCCACCTCTTTGATTTCTACATACTTTTCTCCATTCTATCTTTTATATATTTTGAACAAAGTCCAATTTTTCAACTATGTAGCCTAGCACTGTCACCAAGAGGACATAACCTGAAACAGGCAAAGCTGGAACAAAGAAACACTGAAATAAATGCTTCGTAGTCACTTCTAAAAGGGAATACTTTCCACCAGGATATCTAAGAGCACCGTGATCCAATTTATATAATATTTATGTGCAAGTACAATATTACCAGCTCACTGTAAAACAAGAAACTCTGGAACCAAATCATGAGACATACAAAAAAACCCAAACGCTGACAGTGGTGCCCACACCCTGGCCCCTGAAAGGGCCTTTCAGAAGGTGACTTTACCTGCAGAAAAGGTGCAGCCGAAGGGAGGGACCGGCATTCCCGTTTCCCCGTAAGACAGGAGGTCATCTTCTCGGCTGCACTGGAAGCCATCCAAGAGATGCTGCAGGGGAAGCGGAGAGGACCGACCTACAACGAGACAGAGAGACCGTCACCGCACCAGACACCACAGGCTCAGAAGCGCGGAGCCCCGAGG